GAGAAATGTGCTAAGTTCAAGTGACCCCTGAAAAATCCCTTAAACTGTCCATAAGTGCAGTACTCAGACCTAGCGTTCTTAGTAATGTTTTCCTGCATTGTAGAAATATCAATAGCTGCCCACATTGTAGGCTGACCATCAGTTACTGATGGTCAACTCACATAAGAAACTGGCTTGTGTTTAGGGGCCTCATGGGACCACAAAATGTGTCTTTAATCAATGAAGTCACACTCAATATTAGTTCATGTGATGATTCGCTACTGTACTTTCAAGCCTTGTAACATGCAATCAGTCTGCCCACCAAGCCTTTGCACACACTGTTCCTTCCAACCCCCAATGCCCTTCCTGCCTCCTTTTCCCACTTGGCCTGGCTCATCCTCATTCCATTCTCAGGCCTCTGTGCAGGTGCCACTTCCTCCAGGAAATCTTTTCTCCCCTACCCCTCTTCTAGGAAAGCATAGCCCCTCTGAACCTCCTTTGCACCCCAGGATCTTCCCACTGAGAACTGTTGCTAGGTTGCTCTTGGTTTTCCCTACCAAATCCTTCCTTCTTTTGTGTTTGTTGCGCCTAGTACAGAATTTGGCACAAAAGAGGTGCCCAATCAACGCTGTGGCCTGGACGGACCCACGAGGGACTGGTGGCAATGGTCGGCGGGCCTCCCTTCCATCAGCCGGCCCCCCGGGGAGGGCAGGCAGGGGGCAGGGAGCACTGTGGGGCCACTCCTGCCCCACCGTCCTCCAGACCCTTTCCCTGCCCATCAGGGCGCCACTGGCCTGTCCCACACCCTCTCTGCCGCCTGCCCAGTGACCTAATTATTGTTTTTTCTTCCAGCCCCGCGGAGGGGAAAACAGAAATTCCTGGTGGATGACACAGGCCGCCTGAGAGCCGAGCACGGGACCGGCTGGGCCGGCTTTGCCCGCCCTGAACCCGCCGCCCGCCCCGCCATTAGGGCCGCGGGAACCCGTCATCAGGCTAAGTACAGAGCGGGCGCGGGGCAGGCGGCCCTGGAAATTGCCGGTTCCCGCGGACCCGCGGGGCCGGCGGGCGCCCTGAGTCTGGGGGCCCCACGGCGGGCGGGCCGGGGTCTGGGGGAGCCTGGGGAGCCCCAGCGGCCCGTGGCCGAGGCGCGCCTGTCATTACGGCCCGGCGGCCCCCGCAGGGCAGGAGCCCGGGTCGCGGGGCGGCCGCTGCGCGCGGGGGCGGCGGGAGGCGCCGGGCGGGGGCGGCCGGAGGAATTCCGAGCCCAGGGTGCGGCCCGCGCGGCTGGAGGCCAAGGCCGGGCGCAGCCGCCGCGCTCGGAGAATGCGCTGCCGGGGCTCTGGGGGCCGTGGGCATCCCTTGCACTTTCTGCCCCATCTTAGAAAGCGCGTTGGGCTTGGAGCCAGGCGCCAAGGGGTCAAGTGCCCTAACTGGCGTGGATGCACAGCTTCATCTTCCAGGCACACCCGCGTCTCCCTCTGCAGCCCTGCCCGGCCATGAGCCCTGGATGCCTTGGGAACCTCGGTACTGCTGTTGGAGAGCAGCCCCGATATTGAACGGGTTCCTGGCTGTGGGCCCTCACCCGCGCGCTTACAAGGGACTTATGAATACTCCACTACAGGCACACACAAAAGGTTCATAAAAGGTTTATTTACAAGGGAAAAGGAAATAAGGAAAATGTACAACTCAGGGAGAAAATAGGGAAATAAAGTCTTTAATGCGTCCTACCCGATCTGCCGATCTGGAAACCCAAAAAGCACTCTCCGAGCTGGCCGGATGCTGCGAGCTGGCGGAGAGCCAAAATGGGGGACCCCTCCAAAGCCCACGTGTCTGGCTTTATATCAACCTGGCTGCTTAACCCCACCCTCAGGTCCCAGCCACCTTCCCTTTGGTGGTGATGGGATTTGGAGTTCCCAGTGTCTTTGGCTTTGGCCTGGGGTGGGGGTGGAGTCCACAAAGCCTGTATGGAATTAGCTTTAGGACATCCTTTTCCGCCTAACAATTCCCCCCTTTCACTTTATGCCACCATTTCCATGGTGATGAAGATCGAATATATGGAGGTTGGGATGCAGTCTCAGATGAACATTTTTACCAGGTTGCAGTGTGAAAGAAAACCAGTCCCTCCAGGTATTTGTCCATAGTGGAAAGCAAAAAGTCCTCTTTAGGACATCCTTTTCCCCCTAACACTCCCAGTACTCAGGACTCCCTGCCCTGTAACACCAGCAGCAACATGTGTAACAGCCACGGATGAGACGAGGTGCACGCGGGTCAACCCGCTCCATAGATGCTCCATATTCTTTCACTTACCAGGGGGAAAGTCTCAGTGAGTCATTCATACTGTCTGTCAACATATATTGAGCCAATAGGTACTAGGTGTCAGGCACTGTGTTAGGCCTTGAGGTTATAATGGTGAGTAAGACAGTTCATGTTACATTTTCAGAGGAGACAAACATAAGCAAATAAATACATTAGACAGCATAGTGTTTTAGGTGGTATTAGCTTTTATGGGGAAAAGATAAAGGGGCGAGGGCAGTGGAAGAATTGTGTCTTAGACTCAGTGGTCCAAGGAAGGAAGGTGTTCACGGCAAAGTACCCTTTGAGATGAGACCTGAGGGAAATGCAGGCGTGAGCAGGGCATTTATCAAGGAGAAGTCTTTTGGGATAAAGCAAATGGCAGATGCAAAGGCCCTGACTCCCCCTCCCCACCCTTTGCTGGCAGAAATCTGTCAGACAGCTGTGCGCCTAATACACAAGTGCACTCCATTTCTCCACCACTCCACAGGAAGGCAGTGTGAAGAGCAGACCTGGTTTTAAACTCTGGTTGCGCACTGCGTGACCTTGCACCAGTTACTTAACCTCTCTGAGTAGTAGTCCTTGCACTTCTTAAATGGGGAGAATAATGACACTTTCCTTACAGGTTTGTGTGATGCTTCAAGTAACACTGACATGTTGTAAGTCCAGACTTGGGCATACACATGTGCCTAAAGGAATGACCCAGGAGATCCCTAGGAAGACCTTAGTTTCCTTATCTGAAAATGGGGTCTCTCCTCTGAGTGAAGAATGGACTAATTTCCCCCCCATCTTTGTGGTGATAGGGAAGCAAGTGGTGAAACTGGGAGTAGCTTGACAAACTCTGGGAGACAGTACCCAACTGCAGTGTGGGAGTGGAGACTCTTTGGAACTCAGAGAGAAGTAGTAGAATAGACAGTCTCCAACCTACCCCTTCCTTGCACTGTCCAAGTCTCAACCAAGCATTCAGTGGCGTTCAGAGAGGAAATCTCCTGCGAGCCCAGCTCAGGGCAAAGCTGTGACATGAGTGACATTCATATTTCATGCTCTGGCAGGAGTTTTATCTCAGAATCGAAATGTCAGCAGACAGGCTTGGCACCAAAATCCCCTCCTGTGCTGTTGCTTTTGCCACTAGCTACTCTGAGGGGTTGTTTTTCTTTCATCCATTCAACAAGTATTTCCGGGGAGCCTATCAGGTATAGGTGCAGCTCCCCACATTAGAGGTAGGGCAACAGGCATGGTGGGGAGACCTGGCCCTCTGAAGTTCACATTTTAGGTTGGGAACAGACAATAACCAGCTATGCAAAGACTATTAAGTCAGCTGGAGAGACGAAGGTGAGGGACAGCACTGGAAGGCTAAATGGAAGTGTTCTTTCAGACTAGGTCATTGAGCAGAGCCCACGACCAGTAGGGGTTTTGCCAAATGGGTGTCTGGGGAAGGGGAAGTTCTGAAAGAAGGGTTGAATGTGGAAAGACCATGAGGCAGGAAATGCTTGACAATTTCAGGGGCTAGCAAGGAAAGCAATGTGGTTGGAGTGAGTAGGGAGGGAACGGGAGGAAACAAGACTGAAGGGGCTGATTGTGGGTGTCCTTTGTGGCTTCAAGTTACCCCACTTATTCTGTGTATGCCTCAGGCTGGAGCGGTGCCTTTCCAGGCAGCCTGGACATCCGGAGGAGCCTCATACAAAGCCAGCTGTCAGAACCATCCTCTGTCTCCCTCTACCCTTGCCACTCCTCTCCTGTTCTACAAAGCAGGATCAAAAGATGGTGGGGAAGCTGTCCTCTTCTGAAAAGACTTGGAGAGAGAAGTCTCTGGATTCCAGGCGAGGTTCCACTACACAGTACCTGCTTGAGCTTGGATGAGCTGGGCCTCAATCTCCATATCTGTAAAATGGGTCTAAAGATACCTACTGCCTAAAAAGTTATGATGGTTAACTGTATACCAGCCTCTGGCCTGTCAGATACATTCTAGGTATGTACCCAAGGGAGTGAATGTACATGTTCAAAAGGCACAAATTAGGTGTTCCTGGGGGGTGGCCGCATTAGCCCCCAACTGGAATCTACTCTGCTATCCATCAGCAGAACAATGGCCGGGTAGCCACATGAATGAAGCATCATAAAACTGCTGACAGACACAGCAAGGTGGGCAAATCTGACATTTTGTTAAGTGAAAGAAACTAAACACAGAGAACAGGTACGTTATTCTGTTGGTGTGAAGTTCACGGACAGGTAAAGTTAGTCTGTGGTGAAAGAGCCCAGGATAGTGGTTACTTTTGGGGAGCATCAGCCAGGAGGGGGCTTGTTGGAAGTGTTGTACATCCTGACCTGGTTGGTGTCACACGGGTTCATATGCATTTAAAAGTTCTTCAAATTTGAGTTTCATGAACAATTTGAGATTCGTGTGTGACATGCTGTAGGTATTCAGTTGACTCTGGAACCACATGGGGGCTACGGATGCTGACACCCACACAGTTAAAAATCTAAGTATAACTTTGGACTCTCCCCAAACTTAACTACTAATAGACTGCTGTGGATTGGAAGCCTTACAGGTGACCTATCAGCCAGGGCATACAGATTTGTATTTGCCAGTCACGAAGTGGAGGGGAGGCTCAGTGGTCTCCACCCTCTTCAGTGGTCCTCTCTAAAAGCAGGCTGAGGAGGAGGAAGAGGGGGCTTGGTCTTGCTGCCTCGGGGGCGGGGAAGAGATGGAATTTGGAGGGGGTGGCCGGGGAGGCAGGGGGAGGGCCCTCTCTCAGGCCCTCTCTCAGAAAGTGACTCTGTGTCACTTTCTGGAAATTTATCATCATTTCTGCTGATCCCGAGTGACTTGGGTTAACTTTCACGTTTTTTCATTTTTCTGAAAATGTTGTGTATGATACCAATCCTTCCACCATTTGCTTTCGTTTCAGTGCCTGCATCATAAATGGTCTGTTTTGTGAGAGAGGTCAAAAGCATTCACAAATAACCCGACCCCCATGCCAGGTTGTCCACTGTCATTTTGTGTTCTGGCAGCTTCTACGGTGTCTTTCCTTCCTGACCCTGGCTCAGACGCCCTCAACTCCGTTGAGTCATCTTCTGTGTGGACTCTGTGCGGTGTCTGTCCTCATACAAGTGACGGTGCACTTCAACCCACGTTATTCAAGGTCAATGGTATTGTCCTTCAGTGAAAAGGGAGCAAAAAGTATACTGCCTAGAGAGCTAGTGGCGGGAACATGCGCCCATGCCTGTCTCAGCGTAGGGACTCGGCAGCATTCTCTGCTGGCCCAGTGCCCCTCTGAGGGACAAGGGCTGTCCTCTAGCACCCGGGCTCCTGCCTCGCTTCTCCCGTCCCGACCGAGCATCAGTAGAACTGAGGGGCAGACAGGGTGTGGGTCTTTTTGTTTTTGTTTTCTGGCTTTTTTTTTTTTTTCTTTTGCTTTGCTTTGTGATGAAAAAATTATAGTCTTTGTTATTACTTAATATATCATCTCACTAGTGCTCAGGTGCCCAGGTCGGGTATGGAATGGAAACTCTGCAGTGGGGAGTGTTTAGCCTTCCTGGGGCCTTGGAGATGGTGTTAAGAGCACCCCCTCCCTTTGCAGATGGATAAGATTCCCCAGAGAGGGCCTTGAGAATCCCACGTTCATCTGGTAAGAGAACAGAATACCCCCATTCCATCCCTCTTCCAAACTCCCATTGGCCCACATCCCAGATGTTCCCAGGGTCAACTGACTGGGCACAACGGTACCACTTCTGCCCTCCTGTCCTGTCTTGTCTCTGTTCAAAGCCTAGAAAGGGGAGCGACTTCCCCAAGGCCACACATGAGCGTGGGGTGAGGCCATGGGCAAGTGAGAGGATGAGAGGGTGAAGGCCAGGGCTCCCTAGGTGACTGGCCAAGCTTTCCCCTTACTCTCATGGGGGCAAGACCCCTCCAGAGCAAAGGTTGGGTGTCTGTGTCCCCCTTTTGCTCTGTACTTTTAAAGGGGAGAGTACTTTTATTATCAACGCGGCATGAGGACTGAGCTGCTCTGCCAGTCACTACCCCGGTTAACTCAGCATACCGGTCCCTCCTGCCTCCAGGCCGCAGCCTGGATCCACCTGTCCTTGGGTCAGTCCTTCTTTTGCTACCCACAGAAATGTCATAGACTGTCCCTGTTTCATACCATGTGGTCCTGGTTTGAACCCATCCTGGCACGGTGGTAGGTGGGGGGTGACCCGAGGGGTGTCCAGGGAGGGATGTGATCCAGCACAGCGCAGGAGCTGATCTCTCCTTTCTCACCTGCCTTCGGGGCCCCAGAAGGCCCTTTCCCAGCTGCCTTGGACACCTTCATGCTGTTGTTTTTCTGTCTTATCTCTCACTGGACTTATCTATTCACTGGTGTGGCTGGCTCCGGTCTACTGTTGCTCACAAGATGGCGAGCCATGTGAGGGCAGAGGCTGTGTCTACTTTATCTGCCAGCGGGCCCCCGGTGCCTGGCGTGGAGTTGTAATAATCGATGTTTAAGGGAAAGATAGATGAATGAACAAGGACTGCTTGCCAGGACCCGAGTGGGAGTGTCAGGGGAGGAAGGGTGCCTTCTGGGTACGTGTGTGGCGGAGAGGACCACCGAGATTTCAGGGGGAGCTGCTGGAGGGCGGGGGTGGGGTGGGGATGGGGGGCTTCTTTTGAAGCCTCGGCATTTGAGAGCATAGTCCCTTCCCTTTATGAGCCAGACACTCACCTGTGAAGCTATGTGGGGTCCCTGCAGGGGACTGGAGCTAGGCGAGCCAGTCTTCCTTCCTGGGCGGGTGGGGGGTGGTCAGCCCATGCCTTCTCCCTCAAGCACACCGGTTCTTGGACTAGGGTGCTCCCCTGGGGCTCCAATCCCCAGGAGGCCCTAAGAGCCTTCAGCCCAATCTTCAGAGAGGGCTGGTGACCTGCCCTGAGTCTCACAGCAGGGAGAGGCTGGCACTCACTCCATGCCCAGAGCCTCCAACTTGTGCTGTCGACTACACATAAGGCTTCCTTCAGGTTAGTCACCCAGGGCAGGCAGCCTCACACCTGGAGCCCATGCTCTCTGTGTGGTTAGGCTGGGAGACAACTCCCTACACCCTCCTGGGGAGAGGGTTGCTGCTCTCAGGGGCATCTGGTCTGGCAGTGTCTGCAGCCTGCACCTGCTCACCTGAACCATGCTCAGGGCATTGAGGCTGGTTTCAGAAATGCCTGTTTTCTGGCCTTGTTGACTTTCCCAGAAGACTGGCTTTTCCCACAGGCAGGGCCTGTGCCCCGTTTTCAGACAGAATGCTCTGTGCTTGTGGGCATTTCAGGTCTCAGTTCTCCAGCCTGTTGACAGATTCCCACCCCAGGCTCCCAACACCCTCAGACCTGCCTGGTATCCCCTCATATACCTCCTACTTCGAACCAAGCCCCTCTGTTGACCTGAGGTGAGGACTCAGTCAGGCCAGGGCAAGGAGGCTCATCTAGCCCTCCCTGCCTGAGAGCACCTGTGGTCATGTCATAGTGTCCTTGTGTCCCCTGAAATCCTATCAGTAGAGGGTGTGAGTGGACTCTTGTGTGACATGAAAGAAGTGACTTGGGATATTATTTGAGGGGCTCTAGGAAGAGATTTAGCCTCCTACCCCAGCCCCCAACTTCCTAGGAGCTACAGTCCGGAATTCTGTGGACGGAGGCACATTCCTGCACATTGCTGTGTTCTCCTCATGGGAGTAAATCAGAGGTTTCTTTTATTCTGCCTTTGGGCCCAGAGGCCTTAGGGACTTAGAGATCCAGACTGAAGATATGGGTGGGGAGAGATCTGCCAGGTTGTTCCTCAGCAGGATGAAGACCCCAGGAGGGGCTGACTGCTGGAGGCTGGCTGGGACTGCAGGGGCTTTGGGGCCAGCGAGAACAGCTGGGAGGGAGCCCTGACAGACGCTTTATCAGGCCCTGTCGCCGGCGTTATCTGTGACTTCTCAGAAAAGAAGGAGCCACAGTCCTCACCATGCTCAGACCACTCCAGGCTTGGAACAAAGCAGCCGAGTCAGCAGGCCCCATGGTTCCACCATCACATCCCTGGGCTCTGCAGGCCTGAGGCCCACGTGGGGGCTTTCAGAGGGATGGCTGGTCTGGCCTGGTGACTGGTCTGGCGACAGTCCGTCTGCTGGGACTCCTCCGCCCAGTGCCCATTGCCGCCAGGACCACCCTCCTGGGGCCTGTCTGAGAATGGAGATGGGGCACAGGGTCATCCCAGCCCCTCCAGGGCCTGGCTGAAATGTCAGCCACAAAGTACGGGACACAGAGGGGCCTGTCCAGGAACAAGGGCCAAGTGTTGGCGTGGGATGAGGGCTGGGGCCGGGCTGGTCAAATGTTTACTTGGAATGGCTTGAGTGGGCATTCTTAGGCCATGGGGGCAGCTGGCGCCTGGCATGGGGCCCTGCTGCCCACCACCACGGGGCATTGCAAGGATTCGGACCCATCCCAGATGGCTCTGAGTCCAAAAGCTACCAGCCAAGGCCTTGGCATGTCCACTCATTCCCAGCTCCTGCCCACTCTTGAGGAGAGAAGGAGCCAGCAGGGCAGGGTTCAGGCGCTCTCATTCAGGAGGCACCTGCTTTCCTGGCCTCCTGCAGGGCTGCCATGTATGGTCGGGCAGGTTGTGCAATATAAAAAGTATATTGCTGTTGAAACTCATGGGTCTGAAATCCTTGCAACTGGGCAGGGAGCTGAATCAGCCCAGAGGGTGGATTTTTACAACTGTCTGCCGGGCACTGTGGACATTAAGATGACGACATGGTTCTTTTGGTAGGAGTTCATGGTCTTTTAGGGGTAGGGTTGGCAGACACATTACAAGGCACACAGTTGGGTTTGAATTTCAGATGAACAAATAACTTTTTAAAAAGTATAATTATGCTCCATGCAAGACTGCAGTGTCTGAGTATCATAGGGGTGGGTGAGGTCTGGTCAAATCAGATCTCCCCCCCAGCACATAGGGCCCCGGGGATCATGGGGGAGGCTGTGGAGCCTGAAGAGGCAGGCCGTTGTGGCTGGGGTGACACTGGGAGACGGAATATGGATTTGGAGGTGGGATGGGGCCTGGTAGTCTGCGATGGGACCAGGGAAGGGATTGAGCTGGGGTCGCATGTTGCAGCAGGCTCCCTCTGGCGGCTGTGTTGAGAAGGGGACCAGGGACCTAAGTCAGCAGATCTGTGATGTTATTGCCTCCAGAGCACCGGGCAGTGAGCGTGGAGCTAGAGAGTAATGGTTGATTCTGAACTTATGAAACTTTTATTATGGAAAATGTCAAACATGGACAAAAGCTGAGAGAATGTACAAGGAACTCCCATGTTCCCATGTCCCCATCATCTCTGCCAACATCATCAGCTCCTGGTCAATTTTGTTTCATGGGAACCCTTCACCCCTCCTGGCAAGTGAAGTTTTTTTTTTTTTTAAGATTTATTTATTTATGCATACAGGAGCTGGGTACAGGCCAGAGGCATGGGGGTGGGGGGGCGGTGTGACAGGAATCCCCAGAGACAGAGTGGGGAACAGAACAGGCAGATTGACCTAAGTACACTGCTGAGGGGAGCAGCGGGCGAGTCAGAAGAGGTCGCTGTGCCATGTGGGTTGCTCCCTGGCTGGCTGGGGATCGAACATGTGCTGCAGAGGTTTCGGATCGTTTCTCTGGTTGCGTCTTAACCCCTTGCGCCACCAGGGAGGCCCCAATTGAAGTGTTTTGAAGCAAATCCCAGATATCATATTTCGTCCATAACCATGTCAGTGTATATCACTAACCCTAATAGATTTTGAATCTGGAACCAGCAGGAATTTGCCCAAAGATCTTAAGCAGCTGTTAAGAGAGACGGGACCCAGATCCCACAGAGCCCAGTGCTGTGTTGTTAGTTTCCAGGTCTTGGGATGATCTCTCCTAAAGCTTTCTAGCTTTCTTTTTCCTCCCTGGGACAAAAGTCTCCCAGGCCTCCTCTCTCCCACACTCCTGTCTGCCTCTCTCCTAGTGTGATGCTCCTCAGACTGGGTTCTGAGAACGCTGGCGTTGCCTCCCGGTTGGAAGCCCCTGCCTTCTCCCCAGAGCACACAGTAGTCCACAGTCTCCTCTCTCTGCCCCCCAGTGTCTGCCCCAGAGACTCCCTGGGCCTCAAAATCCACCTGGGAACTCGGGAAATGCAGGTGCCCAGTAAAGGTGGGAGCCCACGGGAAGTCAGAGTGAGGTACAGGGACACTGATTTAGACATAAGATCCGTAAAAATCAGTGAGGAAGGCTCTTTGTTTCCCAAAGGCTACCCCCTCCAGGAAGCAGCCTGGCTTGCCTGTTTGCGGGGCGCCTCTGGATAGGCCCCTTTCTCTCTCTGGGCTAAGAAACCAACCAGTTTTCTAGGCAGTGCTTCTGTCTCCCCACCTTCGTTTCAGATTCTGCCCCCCTAGTCCCTGAGATGGAAGGAGCTGAGGGGCAAAGCTGGACTTGGAGGAGGCTGCCAGCACCACGTTCATGTCTGACCTAGCCACACAGACACATTGAAGCCCATGATGCAGGCATAGTACCTCCACCTTACAGAAGATGAAGTGCAGGGAATAAAGACACTTGAGTAGGGTCCCCTAGTTTGTGGGCACCACAACCAGGACATGAGTCCAAGGTCAAATATTTAGCATTGGTGT